TTACTTGCAAAGTAAGTGTTGGTATTTTTTTCATGGCAACGTGTTATAGAAATGTAACCACCGGTCAAAAAAGCATTTCTCCAAACATGCGTATCTCCACGGAATAGTTATCATTCGTTGTGACGGTTGTCAGAATCTGCATCTGATTGCCGACAACTTGGGATGGATCAAAGATGAACGATGGTATGTGCTCTTCCTCCCCCCCCCCTCGTTTTTGCCAACACAATTTTCTTTTACTTCATCAAGCATAAGTCTGATTTAGTCCAGTGGACCAAATGAACTAACTGTTTCTTACGGCGTGTAACATTCAAAAAAAATTACATCGGTGATTCTGGCCAGCCCTGGTATGAGTCTTCCGGCCCCGACGGGCTGTCCCCATTAGCTTTTTAGAATGGAGGTTCACCCTCGGTTTCGGAGTTACCGAAACTCCTGGTCTCGGTGTGGGAGAGGGAACATGTTCCAAGTGAAAGGTGTGATCGGTCATCATACCGATTTACAAGAACAGTAATAGGTCCTCTTGTGAAAACCACAGAGGAATTAGTTTAATCAACATTGTCTCTAAACTTCTCGCGGGCATCATATTCCGTCGATTGTCTGCCACACATGAACGGTGCACGGGTGAGAACCAGGCTGGTTTTAGACCTGGTCGAGGTTGTATCGACCACATCTTCACTCTACGCCAAACTCTAGAGCACCGACATTCCTTTCGTAGACCCATTATCTCCGTCTTCCTCGATCCGAAAGCGGCTTTCGATTCAGTCGGCCGCTCTAAATTCTGGCGCTGCCTCGTTTCGAATGTTGTGCCCGAGAAATTCATTTCAATATTACAATCCCTTTATACTAATAGCCGAAGTCGAGTCCGAGCTTCCGGCACTTTTCCGCCCAAGTTCACTACAGAAAGTGGTGTTCGACAGGGCTGCCCCCTCTCTCCTTTCCTATTCAACTTTGTTATAGATCTGATTATGGAAACAGCCTTATCCTCATGCGAGGAAAGTGGCATCGATTTACTCCCAGGTGGCAGACTGTCTGATCTGGAGTATGCAGACGACATTGTGCTACTAAGTGAAGATCCAGGTAAGTTACAAGCTTTTCTGGAACGTTTGAGTGCTACTGTAACCAGGTTCGGTATGCGTTTTGCACCTTCAATAGTGTAAAATGTTACTTCAAGACTGAGTTGGTCCAGCACCCAGCCTCACCCTAACTGGAGAAGTAATAGAGCAAGTGGATAAGTTTTGTTACTTGGGCAGCTACATCTCACCCGTTGGACGCATCATGGATGAAGTGTCAGCTCGCATACAGAAGGCCCGATTGGCATTTACCAACTTGAGACATCTGTGGCACCGTCGCGACATCCGGTTGTCTGTGAAGGGTCGAGTATATGCTGCGGCAGTTCGGCTATATGGATCAGAAACTTGGCCATTAAGAAAACAGGATAAAGATAGACTGTCGGTGCTTGAACACCGCTGTCTATGCAGCATTGCACGAATCTGGTGGGGCAACCAGACTGAGTGATATGGCCGGGTGTCCCAACCAGTGGCGCTCATGCATTCACTCAATACTCTCGTAACTTCAGTCTATGTGAATGCGTTATCTTCCGCTGGAATCTGCTTTAACATTCTAATCATCATTCTGCTGTTTTGTCCAAATGGACAACCAAAACCGTCGCACGAAACTGCATGGTTAATGGCTGTTAGAACTGAACTGAATTGAACTGCAAATCACTGGAGTCTGCTACGTTGACGAGTGGGGTAGACTAATTTGCTAATCGGGCTTCAATTTCACCCATCCGTGTTTTTGGTTTCTCGCTACACTCTAATGAGCCCACATTGATGCGATTTGGAGGGGTGGTCTTAACACGAGTAGTCAGCCGTAGGCGAATCTTCGCACGAACAAGCATTTGATCAAAGCTACCTCTTATTGGAAACCTGTAGTAACTGGTAGTAGTAGTGTTAGTACGCACTGAACTCGGAATACGAACCACGCAATACAAATCACGGAATACGAATCAAGGATTAGCAATCACGGCCTGGATCACTTAAGCACTGGACCGCACTGGTACTAGCACGCAATATCCCACGTAACTGAGACGCGAGAGAAAAGGCATCAGGAGTAGTAGTTCCTTTATTGGAAAGAATAAAGGAGATTAAATATGTACGAAGTAGGCTCATTAGTTATCTGGGCTACCAATCGCGTTCCAGTATCGCTTGCGTCGTTCTGCTTCTGTCTGGGCTGCAC